GAGAGCCACTTACTCTCTCTCCCTCTCTCTCTCTCTCTGGGGAGCAAAAAAGTAGCTAAATTTGAAATTATGCAACCGATTCTTATTTTCTTGGTGCGGGTAAGGGCAGCCAAAAACGAATCCCTAGGCAAAGCTGTCGGTTAATGCGCCCTAGCTGACTTTATAGCACCCCGTAAGAGCTACAGCCGCGAGCTCTGCACAGGAGCAGGATGCGTCTGGCTTAGGGGTATCAACAGTCATGTTGTTTTCTTTCCTTCTCTCTTTTTTTACGTAAAGTTCAGTTTCGCGGAAAAGCAAACGATGTGAACACAGCGGTTGTCCCTCGGGCGTCTGTTCCGCGATAAAGAACTGCTTCAGTCAACAAGAAGATTTTTAAAGATTTAGTCCGCCTTGTTAGCGGTATATAGCATCAATTAGTGCATCCAAATCCAGTTGATCTTTCGCTTTTAGCGAGAGAGAAAAGCAGAGAGCCAGAACTGGCCAGAGGGCCGAGCTCGAGCGATTTAATAGATTTTTCACTTTGCTTTGCCCTCTTTGCGGTATTCAATCTTAAATGTCACTATCTGTCTATCTAAAGGCAGAGCAAACTATGTTTTCGGATTATTAAACTCTGCGTAGACTTGAAATGGAGGACTAAAACTTTTTATTTCATTGAATTATTCCATTTTTTGAAATTTCTTATACCTTCTAAAAAGGAAATAAATTAACTCAGCTAGTTCTTTTTGCAGTATATATACTGTATATATTTTTAATCAGGATCTATTTGTTTCTTCGAAAAGAAGTCAAGCTAATCGTCTGCCCGTACGTCCGTCCGTTCCCACATCGGCCACACTTCTCAATGGACTCCATTTTGAATAGAATTAACATCTTGTAGTACACGCAGAACCATTTAGTTTTAAAATGTGATTATCGATAATAATCGACTTCAATAACAATAATCTTACGTCCTTCTGGTCACAGCTCAATATAAAGAAAATGAAGTTAACATTGCTGTAAGCTCAATGCTGTTAACATCGGTTAACACATTGTCTTAGCAGTCTACATAACATTTTATTGCCACAGTTTCTTCACCCTATGGGCTAATACGAATAAACCCAGACCTAATTATATTCAAGACTTTGAGTTCGCCGTGCCTTAAAGCCAGTTCTGTGGAAAAACGTTAACTAGGTTAGATGTGTTTTTGAGGCACTGCAATTTATGTTTGGAGCAAATCAAGCACGTAAGAGCAGCCTTTCAATCAAGTCAGGGTCATTTGGCTGAGCAGCACTCAGGGCTTTCCGTTTGAAATCTTTAATTACATTTGAGCCTTGAGCCTGGGCCTCAGCCTGGGCCTTTGATGCGATGCCAACTGGCGGGTCACGTTCGGCACTTGGCCCACATTTGACCCCGACGCCCACACCGGGTCACGTTTAGCCAAATGAAAAGTGGAAAAAGTTTTTTAGCGCGTCCGCGAAATGAGCTTAAAAATTGAGTTGCAGTTGCAGTTGCAGTTGCATTTGCAGTTTATGGCGAGTGCAACTTGTGGGTTTTTCGGTTTTGATTTCAATTTACGTTTAGTTACGGGCCTGGCCGGACCGGACTCGGTTTGACCCGGCCTGGCCTGGTTTTGGTTACACTTACTTGCGCAGATGGCGTGTGCCTCTCACCAGTCCGGGCGTGCAGCAGTTGACCGTAATGGGGGTATCTGCGGGGAAATCAGCGCGTTATTAAAAATGAAAAACTCAGCGGCCCGCTCGAGCTAAGCATTTCGGTAATTTACCAAGCTGAGCTGGGCTCCGTGTGCAAAAAATAATTGAATTCCCCCGGATGGCCAGCACTTACCTTTCAGCTCGCGGGCCAGCCAGCGCGTGGCCAGAATGACGGCCAGCTTGGAGTGGGCGAAGGCGTCGCGCGCATGGAACTTCACCGACCAGGTGCCCACATTTAGTGGATCGTCGAAATCGATTTTGGCCGCCTGATGGGCGTGCGCCGATACAAAAATAATCCGGCCCTGCTCCGACAGTCGCAGATGCGGCAGCAGCAGCTGCGTCAGCAGAAACGGACCTAAATAGTTCACCTGGCAGTGCGGCTCGAAGCCATCCGGCGTGGTGGTGCGTGTGTCGCCAAATACCATGCCCGCATTGTTCACCAGCACATCGATGCGTTCGAACTCGGACATCAGCTGGCCGGCGAACTGATGCACACTGCGCAGCGAGCAGAGGTCCAGGTGGCGCGCCTCCACGAAGTAGCGTTCGGCGGGGCTGACGGTGTCCTCGCTGGAGGTGGGCGTGCGGCAGCCTAGCTCCCGTTTAATAATTGATGCGGCACGTTCGCCTTCCGCCAGATTGCGGCAGGCAAGGATAATGCGACCGCCACGTGCCGCCAGCGCTTTGGCTATCTCAAAGCCAATGCCGCTGCTGCCACCGGTAACTACAACAATTTGCTCCTTGATTTGATTATCGTTCGGGCAGCGCTGGCCGCTCATTATGGTGCTGCAATGCGGGAAACATACAGTACATATAGCTCTACATGTGTGTGTGAGTGTGTGTGCGTGTGTGTATAAGTGGGAAACTTAACCGTAATGCCGTGTAACCAACATGTGGTCTAAAGCCTGCTCACTGGAGCATTTTACTATCTCCCTCTCCCTCGTTCTCTCTCCCTCTTTTTCCATTCGTCCCTCTGGCTTATTGATGGTGCGTAAATAATATCGTACTTCCTATTAGCATATGCTAATTCACATTTGTTAAGTTTAAAATTACGTAAAATGCTCAACAAGCTAAGCGGCAACAATTGTAGGACTTAAACTACTTTTTAACGCTATATTAAACAGCAATGCATATTATTAACATATATTAAACAAAGTATACTGTTTTGATTACCCATATATTTGTTATGTTATTAATTAACTAAAAGCAAGCATTTAAACTACGTTTTGATAACGGCTATAAATAGTAGAGCTTATGTTATGTTAGCTAGTTAAAGCCCTCCTCAAAGTTCACTTAACAGTCGAATTCCTCAATCTCGGCTTAAAGCTCTCATTTAATAGTGCTATGTTATTTGCTGCTGGGCTGCTGCTAATGAATTAGCGGGGAACTGTTAAGTCACAGTTGAATTAACAGTCGAACTACTCAATCTAGGCTTAAAGCTCTCATTTAACATTGCTATGTTATTTGCTGTTGGGCTGTTGCTAATGAATTAACAGGGAACTGTTAAAACCTATTTCAAACGTATTTAAGGTAAGCTGGAGGGATAAGGAATCATTTCATTCGCATATATTATAAACTAATCAAAGTCTAATTTTTCTGTTCACACTGATAAGACACACATAAGTATTAAACTATAGTTAGTTTTGTGCTATCATATCGAAATAGATCTAATATTGGCTAAGCTTAAGTTGTTCAGACTGTGTGTCTGCTTGGGTGGCATTAAGACCTTCCACTTCATTGGCTGACAGTTATTTGGCACTTTAGGTTAGTTTTACCTGCTCGACGGTATTTGCAGCGTTTCAGAATTCATTTGCCAACGCATTTACTTTTAGCCAACTTGCGCAAATCCACTTTACAAATATTTGCAGCAGCAGCTTTTGGCACTTGCCGCAGTTGTCAGTTGCCTGTTCGTACATATTGCGATTGCAGTAGCACATTGCTCACTGACACGCCCCCATGCCCCCGCAATTGTCCTTGCCAGCGCATTCTCAACCAAACACCTGCACCTGGGCGTGGCATGGGGGGGACAGGCCACAAAAACCGCGTGCACTCCTCAAAAGCGCAACGCGCAAAAATAATCTTTAGATATTACACATTATCCCGCTGCTTCACGGAGTTCGCTGAAGGCAAGCAGCAGGAGCACCAGGAGGTGGGGGTCTGAGCGGGGGCTTAGCTGCGACTTGCGACCCTCTTTATGAAATCCACTTAAAAAGTTTCGAGTGCAGCGAGTTTTTTCTGCTTTTTTTTTTTTTATTACTTTACTCTCTTCGCCGCGACAGTTATGTATATGCACGTGTCCGGCAACGCGTCGCGACGCGGCGAAAACTTTTTGCCGTGGGCCGTGTCTTATCGTTCGTGTTGGATATTGTGTTGTATTGTGTGTATGTATGTGCCTGTCCCTGTGTGTGTGTGTGTGGCTGTGTTTGCTCCCGCAATAACCGCCTCACTTACCGCACTGTTATCACAACGCCAACCAGCACGGCTGCAATTGTGGGCCACCAGGTGGAGAAGGGATCAGCCTTCTCAAATATGGTCAGCAGGCGTTCCATATCGTTGTATGTATATGTGTGTGTGTGTGTGTGCGTGGACGCTGTGTAATTTGAAGACTGTCGCTGCACGCTTATTATTGATGAACAAATGGGTATCTGCACTGCAACGGCTGCGAACAGCGACTGAACGGTAATCGTAATAAATATAAATTCTGATTGCGTGCACCCACAGCGGGAAGCAGCAGCAGAGCGCTCAGCTTGCGCTCTCGCATTCTCTTTCCATTCCCCTCCATCCCACTCTTACGCATTGCCATGGCGCGGCACGAGATGCGGCTGACAATTGAATTTAAATGGCTGCTGTCCCGTTTCGGCATATTTTCAATTTACATAAATGCTTGTTGCGCGGCATTTAAATGAGCGCTAGACAGAGACGCCAGATGCTGGCGAGTGCGAGTGTAAGTGGTTGCCACTAATACTGGAGGGGGCTGCCAGTGTTGCTAAGCACCTGTCGCTCTGCTCTTAGGTTAGGTGTAAAATTACCCCAGTTCTGGTGTTGAAAAGAAAAAAACGCGTTCGCCATTTACACGCGTTTTTCCATATTTCATTTGGATTTTAACTTCTTTTTGCTTTTTTCTTTTTTTCTTTTTTTTTATCTTTTTTTTTCGTTTGCGGTTTTACACATTTTACGTTTGCATATTCTTTTGCGTCCGTCAACTAAATTAATTTATTTAATTCATTGTGGGCAAGTGGGCGAGTGGGTGAGCTGGGGGCGTTGCTCTTGACTGCGCTGGCCACCAATTTTAATTACATTTAACAGCTGTTTTGGCTGCGACGATTACGGCTGCCTTCCTTGAGTGCTGCTTTATGCTGCTAAGCTGGCTGCTGCTGGCACTGGAGGCTAGCTAAGTGACTTTACAGTAGAGCATTTGCTGTGAGGTATGCAAATGAACTTTACTTGCTTTTCTTTAAATAATGTTCATGCCTTAGATGTACTTACCACAGCTGAATAACTGTCATTTGCATTATCTATGTATATTTCTTGCCAATAGCAGTTAAGTTAACTTAACATTTCAGTACCAAGTGAGCTGAAGGCGCAGCTAACTTAACACACATTTATGTCATGAATTTCTTATATTAACATTGATTCTCACAGCACAGTTTTCCCCATGTGCCACCCTTTGTTAGTCCAAATTGAATTAAATCTATACAAGTCCCTACATATAAATAAATATATATACATATGTATGTATGTATCTGTATGTATTTACTTACTGACCCCTATAATGACAGAGCATTCAATCAGCCGCTGTTGCAGTCTTTCGCATTTCATTTCCGGCTATTCAATTGAGCGTATGTTGTACGGCCAATGAGTCCCAGGCGCATACGAACCAGTTCCAGCTCCATCTCCCGCATATTGATGCTTGCAGTGCAAAATGAAATTGAAAATAATTCGTTTGTATTTTATTGTTTGTATTTTTGTATTTCGTTTATTTAACGGCTTTTGTTTTGTTTTTGTTTCGTTTTACATTACTCGTATAGCTGATGGCGCCTATTGCTTATGCGCTGTGTTTTCGTTTAGTTTTGCTTTCACTTTAGCTTAGTCATTCGCTTTAGTTAGTTTGCTTTTGCTCAGACAGTTCGTAAATATTTAATGATAATTGCTAAATTGTTGTTTTTTTTTTTTTCATTCGAATATACTGTATTAATGTGCATGTGTGTGTATGTGAGTGTGTCTGAGTGTGTATGCGTGAGTGTGAATATTTGTAAGACTTGCTTGGAACTTGTTTACATATGCGTTGCTTAGTGTTTCTTATTGTTAATGTGCTGCCTGTGTATAATGTTGTTTAAATTTGAGTTTAGTTGATATACGAGAAGTTCTTAAGTGATTTAATCTCTATTTCAAATGCTGAGTGTCTCTCTCTTCCTTCCACTACTATTTACAAACAGTTTCAAGCTTAACATAATTAGCTAAACGTTAACTAACAGAAAAACGTTAACTGCCGAATTTACATAGGAGTCTAATACTTATAGAGCTACCTAGGGCGTATTAAAGTAAATATTCCAGTTTGCTTCTCAAGATGTTTGTGTAGCCAGCCCTTGTATAACTATTAATGTTTTCTTTATCTTCTTCAAGTATTTGTCAGCAAATTAAAATATTGCATTATACACATTGCTAAAGATCCATTAATTGATTTTAGTTTAAAGTTTCTTTTAAAATTAATATCACTAACAAGCCTTCTGTTAATTTTATCTTCCTTCCTTTTATATTTAATTCATAAACTTTAATTTTTTATATATTTGGAGGAGCTAAAGCTTAGGCATTTCGAAATCTTGACTACAGATTGAGCTCTATGAATTCTAGACTCAAAATATCTTAACTATCTCAGAGTTGTGCCTCAATTTATATCCTTTCAGTTGGCTTTAATTTAGTTGATCTTTGGAGTTGCTAAATTTAAAGTTAAACTTTTGTTTGGTCGTCCATTGTATATATATATATTTGTTATATCATTTACCATAAGCATAGAATTTTTACTAATATCGATTGGATACATCCAAACGATTTACAATTTTATTTTATTTTTTATTTTTATTATTTTTTAATTTTGAAATTTTTTTTTATTTTTTTTTTATGATTGCTACTTAGATTCTACGGGCTTTCCCTCGAAGGCAATGAATCCTAGACCTCCTTAAACTAAACTACACTCAACTAGGTATCAAATTAAGAAATTTGAGTACAATAAAAAAACGAGTTCTTAACTATTTACAATTGGTACAAATCGGAACCTACTTTTGAAAATTGTTCTGCAATATATATGTATATCTTTGTTACTTTTTACTCCTTTTATGATATTTAAATTTTCTTTGACTAGATGTGGGTGTTTTGTGTCCTTCGACAGCCGACAAAAATTTGTTATTATAAATTGATGGATTATTACAATTTGTGATAAATATTTTATTCCCAATTTTGTTGCTGGTGTTGTTCTTGTTGCTGAAATCTCAAAATTTCCCATGCAGAACTATCTAGTTATTTATTTATACCACGTTGGCTGTGGATCAATAACACGTCAGCGCCGTCGAACCAATTAGTTATAGCTACGTTATGTGGGTCTCTCTCTGTGTTTGTTTGTATATAACTAGATACTATTCATATGTATTCGCACAATATATGCCATGGGTCATGGGTCATCTATGTACAAATTGTCGCATGCTCAGTTCCGCTGATTTATACTGCAGCTGGTTTTGGGTTTTTTTCGGGGTTTTATTTGGGCTTTGGCTGCATCACATTTAACTGGCCAATATGAGGGTAAAAATATAATCTGCAAATATATAGACCGAGATAGAAATTAATACATATATGTGGAAATATATATAGATAGAGCTATATAGATATGAAAATTCGATTAGCGGCTTTCCAATTGTGTGTGCACTTATAAATCATTCAACAGCACGAACGAGTGACTGTCAAACATTGCGCTGCAGATTGTCTGGTTGGATTTGATTTCATCTTCCCTTTTTCGTTTTGATAAATAAACATTTTTTGAACATACATATTAAAACATTCATGGAAAAAGTTGGTAAATTGCATAGATTGCATAAATGCTTTATTTATATATGCAATTAGTGGTGGTTGTTGCTTATTGAATTAAATGACAAATAAAAACCTCAATGTAAACAAATATGAACAATGCTGCGGTAGGGTATAGCTGACTGAAAAATACTCGCTTAATATGAAGAAAAATAAGGGAAAAATGGCCGGAAATATTCTTTAAAAATATATAATTTTGAGTATGTGCTGGTTATATTCATCAAAGTTATTAAGTTCATTACATTTTAAAAAACTAGTATACCCATTTTATTAGGTGAACGAGTATCGTCAATAATGCAAATGCATTTACATAGGAAAATATGCTATCACTATAATAAACTTCAATAACACACACATATGCATATATCTGTACATATATGTATACACACAAATATATCACTACAAACACTCTTAAGTCAGGACTTAAGTCGTCTCCTAACATAAAATTTGATTACATTATTAATTGGGCTGCTTGAGCTGGTAATTAGCTCCTATAATCATAAGTTAAAATAAATGCCTGTAGATATTTTATATTATTTTTTTGACTATTAACTTTATGTTGCAGCCTCTCTGACCAGAGTCCATATCTCTCCCTCCCTACTGCTTTCCGTTCTCTCCGTCCACTTCATTGCCGTTATGCCCTTTCATTATGTAGGCATAATGGGTGCCATACAGTTATTTGTTATTACCTTAACGAGGGCCATTTATTCACAATGTGCCTGTATATAGGGCCCTATCCTTGCTGGCAATAACCATCAAAGAATCAATCGATTTTAATATACTACATGCTCCTCCATACATAAACTCAGATGCTTTGCTCTCGGCTCGGACAAATTGCTGTGCAGAGTTCATCATTTTGTAAGCTATCATCAGGGTATGCATAACACAGAGAGAGCTCTATAGCAAAACTGCAGCCATTGTGTATTAAATATTTCTCTTGAATATTTAAAATCTACAAAAATAAACAAGATAAAGCAATTGGCAGTTCCATATATATGCGAAAATGTATTGGCTGATGAAATAGGTATATATGTATGTATGTATATATGGAAAATTGAAAAAGAAAATGAAAAACTTTGAATCTTAATCAAAGTAGATACTCGACTACTATTTATAGTGCGCTTTTACACACAATATGAGAGGAGTTGTAATTGAATATGTTTGGCATTTTTTAGCACAAGCATGCAAATCATAATTGCACTTTTAATACTTTTTTTTTTTGGTATTTTTTAAGAGAGCTGCAAAATGTATTTCCAAACAAGGACAACCTCGTGACAATTTGCGTTGATTTTTACGATATTCTACCATATACAGAAAGCACATAAAAATCTTAAATTTCAGCATATTTTTTATATTTGCTTAAAGCGAAGCTTAAAGCCTTATCAAATATAGAAATAAGGCACAAATTACTTGAAACTCTGTTGCGGACTTTGCTTTATGCATTTAAATCTGTTTTTGTACATATCAAAAAGTAGCCCAGTAACTTCCAAGATAAGGCCTCATTAAGCAATGCCTTTGCTGCTCTGCCTCGTTCCAACGAAAATGTAATTTCGAAAAACAAATAAACTGCGAAATGTCCAGTTGAGCACAAATGCAGAAAGTTGTAGTTGGGCGCAAACTTTTGTAAATAAAACTTGATTTGAATTAAATGAAATTACAGTTAAATATTTGAGGTTCGCAGCAGCACTGCGAGCAACTGGCTCTAGAATATATACTCAACAGTTGCCAATGCGACTAGGGGGAGATGAATCTGTGCGAGTTAATGTTAAATACTGACAGCCAACAAATGCGAACAACGGCGCATGGTATATACACAATTTCAGACAGAGTATGTGGGTGTGTGTGCGAATGTGTGTATGTGTGTGTGTGTGATGTCCATTTTGGCACGTGCTTACTCTGCATTGTTGCTGTTGTTGTTGCACAGTTGTTTTGCTTGTTTGACGATTGTAGGAACCATGATTAACGCGACCGAGCAAGAGAGAGGGCAGAGCAAGGAGCTGCGAAATGGAGAAACACACATAGAGAGAGAGGAGAGATTGGGTTAGGCTTGGGCTGGTTTAGGGTGGTTTGGGTTCGCCACGGCTGTTTGCCAAATCTCTCGACGCTGTCTCTCCAAATTTTAACTATGAATGTGCCCAACTGGTGGCAACAACAATAACAACGCCTGCGCTGCTGCTGCTGCTGCTGCTGTGGCTGATGTTGTCTATGTGTACACGTGTGTGTGTGTGTGTCTGTTTGTTTACCGAAACCTTCTTAGTTTGGCTTAGTAGCCCCTCGCTGCCATTGTTTGTGTATTTGCATTTGTCCCTCAACTTTTGCGGGCCCCTCGTCGAGCGAGTGTGAAAATTTATGTATGTATGCATGTGCTCGCAGCTCCACTGTGTGTGTGTATGTGTGTGAGAGAGTGTGGATGTGCCTTTTGCCTGCCTTGGTTTATGTGCTGCTTTTGTTGTAGCTGTTGCTGTTGCTGTTGCTTTTACTGTTGCTGTTGCTTTTGCTGTTTGGCTTTCTTTTTGGGACAGCCTCAAGTCAGTCGCAGTCGCAGCCCTTTGACCAGGTCCGGAATACAAAATAAAGGCATCGAATGCTGCCCACGAGCGCATTAAAATATGTAAATACATATATACACACACACACATACACACTTCTCTATATACATACAGTTGCTGCTGCTGCTGCTGCTGTTGGCATTTTAAATTTGACCGCATAAACAAAGGCAGCAGCAGCGAGAGAAATGTCGAGGCAACTGTAAACCAGAGCCAGGCCGCAACAATGTTGGGTATGCATAAAAATCTAGCGCCCAGTCTCACCTGCTGCCACCTGGCTGCGGCAATTGTGGCAGCCAGCGCATTCCATCGTCCTGGTCAAAAACAATTTAACTGTTTTGCTTTGCTGGCCACTTTTTCTTTTTCGCTTTTTTTTTTTTTTTTTTTTATTGCAGACTCTTTTCCGTTTTCCTTTTATTAGATTCACTCAAAATGTTAATTTAAATTTCTAAGCTCTATTGTTTTGTGCTTGGGACACAGTTTTTGTTCTTTACGTTTTTCTCTGCTTTTTTCACACAGTCCTCAATTAGCATGTCAGTCAGTCAAGGGGGGCCGCAGGGCCGAGGGCTGGGCTAGCTTTTGAAAGCACATTAAAAATGATTTCCTAAGTAGATTGTAAAAATTGCTGGCAATTATATTTAATAGCACCGGCTTTATGCCATATACACCAGTGAACCATAAACGGGCCGTAAAGCCACGCGAAAGACGGCAAAGGGCGACGGCTTCTTGAGGTGTTCGCCCGGGTAATTTGTCAAAGACAAAGAAAAAGACGGCCAAAGTAAAATATGTTGCGAACAAGTCTATTTGACATGCCCTTAGCAGGTGCGCCAAGGAGACCAAGTAGACTGCCGGATGTTTTGGAAAATTTATTTTCATTTTCAGTCGAATGAATTTTATTATACACATATGAATGTGTTTAAGTATTGAAAATATACATTATATTTATGCAAGATTTCTTATCTTTTTATTGAGATTTATGTTAAATTCAGTTTATTGGGCAATAATTTAACAATATAAATATAACAAATAATGTAAATCTTCTAATCAAAACAATTGCAAACATCAATTTTAATTGAACTGTTATTATATTTTAGGCCTTTTCAAACTCCATTATCAAATGAAACTAAGCTTCCCTCAGATTTCCATAGAGCTCAAACTTGAATAGTAATTTCATATTTTCATAAGTAATACCTAAAATTTTTCCTCTTTTTCTCTAAAATTGAATTTTGTTAGGCATAAATAATAAATTTAATATAATTTTCTACATATGGAATTTGTTTTTCTTATATAT